TACTAACTGAGCAACAGTTGAGCTTGACACAGCTCCACTCTCACCGTGTGAGTCAGCGTGAATTTTGATCTTCGATACGATGAGACAACCGGTTTGTCGTTCGATCTGCTCAGGTCGCACTACTTGAATTGATAATCAGTCCTTAGAGTTTTGGTAACGTGTAGAACATATTATCGTGGCGGATTTAGAAGTAGAAAAAACTCAATTGACCCTGTCAGTTTTGTAAAAAGAACCTTATCCACCTGTAGTGTTTTTGTTGGTTTATTTTTCGCGCTCGACGACTGGACGACTGGACTGCGTTGGTTGGGGCATGTGCTGCGAATGTCACCGAATAGATTGTCATGGTGTGTACTGTTTGCTGACGTAGGTGTTGCGTGAAAAAAGTAAAGGGTGGTCAAACTCAGACCTGGCATGAGGATTTGAAAACCCTGGCTAGGAGATTTGCTCATATAGTCTTCCTAGATGGGGATCGTGCGATCATCGTAACCGGTGGTTAGAGACAGTAAGTAATATAGCTGAGTTTCTCGAACAGTGGCGCTCATGCATCTACTCATTATCCCTGCAACCTTAGTGCATGTGGTTTCTCTATCTTCTATTTGATTCCACTCACAACATTTCATTCTACTTTTTTATCCAACTGGGTAGCCATGAGGTAGCAACCCAAATCGGCACACGAGAGTTAATGGTTGTAAAATCTTAAACGGCTGGCTTGTTTTGTTAAGGCCAATCACGGTCAATGAACTTTTCAGGATACTCATTTTCCAGTAAGGTTCTACCCACTAGCTCAAGTTCATCTTTTAAAATAGCCTCTGAACAGACCTTACGACGGAATTTTTTCACGTACATCTGATTGCAAGGGATCGCAAATGAATTCACCGAAAATGTATGATCACCCCTTCATTGTGTGTTCTTAATCACTGGGCATTTCCCGCCATTGGGATTTATTTCCTGTTACTGCAATTTTCACAGACTGGGACATTGACGCACTCAAATTTGGACTTGATTTTCAATTCGTTTTTGTTCTGTTCCTTGGATTTCGCTATTAAATAGCCTTCGGTAATATACTTTACCCCGACTGTTTCTTACCCACAGTCGTTCTATACATCCTCTAAACATTCTGCATTAGGCTGGAGATAGCCCTTGTATGAAGCTTTTCTGAAACTTTATGATCTTCATGAAACCGGGATTTTTGTCTAAGAAGCCAACTAAAGTAGACTAAATTTTCTTTCCGATCTGAGCTTCGGATTTGAACAATACTGTTGGTTCTCCCTTCACCCTTTCAGAAAAATACGCCTTTCCGCAAATCCATCAACGATCTATATGCCAAAAATTCATTCGTTTTTCCATGTCACCATTTCTTGGAGTATCTGGAGGTAAGATGCGCTGTTCATAGACCCATAATAAGTTATAGCTTTTGCTAAATGTCGAGCGATCCCAAGAAAACGTTGGCGGAATTTGATATCGTTCTGGTATGCGCCAGTTCGTCTAATTTACGCTATAGGTGTTTCGGATTGGGTAACAATTTTTCCTATGTCATCATGTTGTCCGCGGCGTTGGATATAATCAAGAAACAAGAGCATGTGAGTTTCATCCAATGTTTTTAACGTTGTCGTATATGTCTAGCTTTAACATATTAGGTCGAAGTTTTGTCTCAAAATAGCAATATACATAAGCCTAGAATTGACTACTTTGCTTCAAATTGTTGTTTGGCAGATTGAAGTCTTGTGTTGAGATTGTGAAACGTTCAGTAGCCTCGGGATTCGAACCCACGCGTGGACGCCACCTACACTTTGATACAGTACACGCTCCACCAGCTGAGCTACCAGGTCACACCGATCTTTTCATATTCGAATTACTCATCCAACTTACAGAGGCTAAGGCATCCATCAAGTAGCATGTAAGCTGATTGTCATGACAGGTTTTGTTTAGGAATCACCGGATTCCACCGAATGTTACCCGTGTTTTCCTTTCTAAAATGCGTATAACTGGATATAACTTACGAGATTGAGCAATTCGATTCGGTCTATGACTTGTCGGTAGGGATAAGGTTGCACTATATACATTTATACACATGATAGATTATAGTTGAATGAAGATGATCCCCGTGACTCAACCATACACAACCTTTGTGAAGTCCCCTAGGAAGTTCATTTTACACACAATCATTCCATGCTGAAAACACGGTTTTATCATTAAGTTCAAATCCGATCGATGCTTGCATGAGTGATCTTTTAGAAATGCCGTGTTTTTTCATTTTTGCTCGGCTGTTGCCCAGCTCGATATCGCACCTATTCGACCGAAATATTTTGTGATTCACTACCTTAGGTTTGAAGGCTGTTCTAACCTATAAGGTTACCACAAAAGCGAACTCAATTTTGACCGCCGTGTGGGATGGCTGCGATGTAAATAATGGGCACTATAGCATGCGATTGGTCCCAGTTGGTTGGTCTATTCTTAGTTGATGCAGTTACGCCCTGCTCCGTTCTGAAACTAGATGGCCAGGAATTAGTTTACTGTTTCTCGTACTTGGGTAATCGCATGACCAACGACGGTAGCACATCAAAGGAGATAACCGCCCGCATTTCCAAGGCTCGAGCAGCTTACACAGGACTAAAACACCTTTGGCGACAACGTGATGTTTCACTGAGGTTGAAAAGTTGCGTATACTGTGCCACTGTACGATCAGTTCTGCTTTGCGGTTGTTAGACGTTGAATTCGCGAGTAGAAGACATCCGTCGCCTAGTGGTTTTCGACTACCGATGCTTACATAGTCTGGCCCAGGTGAGATGGAATAAGCGGGTTAGCAACCTAGAGGTAAGACGTCGGATGTTTGGAAATGCATGGAATAAGAACTGGCTATCGCATCGACTCCAGCACAGTAGGCTCCGTTGGTTGGGACATGATTTGCGTATGTCCAACGACAGCTTACCACATTGTGCCTTATTTGCAGTGGCTGTTGCAGATTGGAGAAAGCCATGTAGAGGCCGGCATATGATATGGAGACGAGGCATGAAGAGATGCACAGAGCGATTGGGTAGATGTAGGTGTCTCTCGTCTTCCGGGTTGTGGTCCAAAAGACTCTTTAACTGGATGATTGGAGACACTGAAGATCATGCAAACCAACCGAAAGCAATGGCCATCTTGGTGTCACTTCTTATCAGGCCAGAATGCTGGAAATAGTATATGTATGCGTAATTGGACCATGTACCCTGTGTGCGCTGACCATGGAGGTTTGCTTTCTTTAACAGTCCATCAAAATAGGCCCAATGATTTACACATTCTCACTTGACGATTGTTATTTGGATAAGAATACCTCTGTTCTTGGTATTCTCGTAACTGTTTGGGAGTACGAGAACAATTACTCCTTTTGTTTCAATGCTTAGTTCACCGTTGCTCATCTCTTTTCCTCTCCACGAACACTATTTGTATCTAACCCCCCCCCCCCCTTAATCCCGTAGTCTGGAGCGGAATTACAACTTCGCAAATATCATATCAATTGCACGGAAACCGGTACAGGCGTGAGTGGCTCGTTTTCTGTATTCTTCAATTGTGTCGCTTCGATTGCAGAGTGTACTGCTTGCTGATATTCTTCCAAGTATGGGAATCAAGTTTATTGCACCTTTGTTCATACATCGGTTGCATTTTCAGTAAGTTGCGCTTTAACTGATCCGTTCTTTTGTTGTTTTTACTGTCCGGTCTTTTTAAACCCACTTAATCCTCCATTGGACATTCCTTTGCAAATTGAAATTGGGGTGCGCATTTCTGATTTATTTTTGTTTAAATGTCAATTTGGTTTGAATACTGTTCTCTGGCGTCGAGTCATGACTATAAGGTAGAGATGATGAGATGTGTAAAACTCCGTAATTTCTTCCATTCATAGACACTGAGATTTCCTTCTAAATGAAGGTCCAGCTTTAGTCAGTGTGATTGACGCCACGTTTCACAGATAATCACACATCGCACCGCTTGACACGAGAATACTAAAAATCTTACACTTAGGACGACGAAGTGGTCATCTATGATCCCGATCTTCGCATGGCCCTGCTTAGTGAAAAAAAACCGGGAACTCACGGGACGTCAACAACCCAAAATGAGGCACATTCAAACAGAGCACATGCTGAAAGATGGAATTTTTGGATCATAGGTCAGAAGTAACTATACTACGTAAAACCTCCGAAATCCTCAGTATGGTCGGGGGTGGGTGTCCAGGGTTGCGGCTGGTCACCATTCCCTTGCAAGTCGCAAAATGCTCCCATACGATCAAGCGCCTCGAATAGCCTTTGCTGAGGATGCCCTACTCACTGCTTTATTGCGGCGGAGGTGTTTCCCCACCAAAGTGAGTGTAGTGGAAAAGATACTACATATACGAATAATAATGAAATAAACGGTACAAGGAACG